GCTGTGCCCTCTGGCACTTGTATACTGTCACTAAACAACATGCATATTCTACCTTTTGCACCACCCATCTAGACAGAATTGAGTTGCCTCCTGTCGTGGCGATGATTTCACTATCAGCTCTCCTGCTTCTCCATCATTCTCTAAATAGCACTCTTTCTTTGGTTAACTCAATTCCTGGTTTTTACACTGATCTGCACATGTGAACACCATTCACACCAGAGAGTTAGTCTATACTCCCCCTCTCACCTTTCACTCCTCCTGGACCTCATAATTGCCTTACTGTCTGCTTTACTTGATTCTCCTCATATCATAACCCCCTGTATCTCTCAAATGCCTTCATGTACCAGGTCAATAGCAAAGATCTATAACTTGTATTCTTTAAAAAAAAAAAACTATCCCCCAGTCCTCCCCGTAACTCTTTCCATATCCACCCCACCTCCCCAGCCCTCTCAACATCATGCCCTCCCCATTTTTTGTTTGAGGTGTTTTGTTTTGTTTTAATAACTCACTGAGTGCAGTTTGTACTGTTGGGTGTGAGGCCGTCCTCTGGGATGAATTATGCTCTCTGTTTGTGAGGTGTGTTATGGATGTATGGTGTAGGCACATGAGTGTGTAAAGAATGCATGCCCATGCACACATGTGCAGGTAGAGGAGGATACCAGGGTCCTATAACTCTCCCAACTTATTCCTTCAAAGCAGGGTCTGTCACTGAACCTTGAGCTAGGCTACACACACCAGCAACAACCCTGTCTCTGTACCCACAGTGCCAGGATGACAGACACGTGTGGACACATGTGGCTTCTTACATGGGTGCTCGGATCCAAACACAGGTCCTCATGCTTTAGCAGCCCGTGCCATTCCTATGTTTCTACCAAGCCCAGAGTTGCACCCTCTTTTGAAACTACCCCTCCTGTAAATTCTATTTTCCTTCTCCCTGGGCAGCTTGATCTATGGGTCTAATAGAAATACAACCTGCCTGATTTCCTTGCCTTCTTTTTGCCTGGGTTGCTTTTTTGTGGTTCCGGGCACTGGATATGAAACCTCTCGTATCTTTAGCACATGTTCTACCACTGGGGTAGTCTCCTATATATCCACTGGGGTAGTCTTCCTATATATTCTCATGGGAGATGTCATTCTGTAAATATGCTTCCCTTATTGGTTGATGAATAAAGCACTGTGACCAATGAAGCAGGATGATAGGTGGGACTAGGAGACAAGGAAGATTCTGGGAGGTGTAGGCAGAGAGGGACCGAGATGTAGGACACAAAGAGTAAGAGATCCGGACCCTTTCTCTGGTAAGATAAGACCACGTGGAAATACTTAGATTGATAGAAATGGGTTAGAAATTATGACAGAGCTAGCCAATAAGAAGCCCTAGCCATCGGTCAACAGCTTAATAATTAACCTAAGTCTCTGTGTGTTATTTGGGGCTAACATGGCACTGGGACCAGGCTGGCGGAAAGAGTTATCATAACAAAATGGTGCCACATCGTGGTTTTTACGAACTTCCACATAAAAACTGAAAACGTGATTTTAGAAACAAAAAAATCATAATCAATAAGAAGTTTCCATGTTATTTTTTGGGGTTGGTGCTGCATAAGAGTCAGCTACAGTAGACTTCCTATATATTCCCTGGGGTAGTCTTCTTATATATTCCCCTCCTCTCAACCTTGGGAATTCCTTGATGTACATCCTGGGTCATTTTCTTGTTTCCTGGAATTTACATCTTCCTCTTTCATGTTTTTCACTCTTGCTTTATTGGAACACAACATCTAGAACCAACATCAGACTAGAGTGACTATGCCATGACAGAAGAAAGGACAGCCACTACCACTGAGTTGGATATCACATTAACACCAATATGATGTTAAGATGTTGGGCCTTCACAAGGTGATTAGACCACGAGGGCTGTCTCTTCCCTTTTGAATGAAACTATAGCCTATATAAAAGAGGCTTCATGGACCTAATGGGGCTGCTTTTCTGCCTCCCACCATGTAAGCACATTACCCACCTCCTCTCCAGATGACAAATCAACACGTTTCCAGTCTTGGAAGCACAGAGATGTTCTCTTCAGAGAATGGAACCTACTGGCACCTGATCTCCCATATTCTAAAACTGAGAAATAATATTTTGTTCACAAATCATGTAGCCTGTGGCATTCTGTCATAAGAGCACAAGCAGGCTAAGACACGACTCAAGTCACACCATTCCAGTATGGACTGGTGACTTCCACACCTTATATCATCCTAAAGTCTCCTCTGTGACACCAGGATTCATTATTACTGTCATCAGTGTCACAGGCCCTATGTCAAACCCCTGGTCAGGGGTCTAACCCCTGATTGGTTCCTCCTCCTCCTCTTGGATGATATCCTCTAGTGGCTTTTAGTAAAAGAGTACATGAGAGGTAAGTTTTCAGAGAATTGGTTATTTGTAAATATTTGTATTCTACCTTTGCATTTGAAGTGTGGCTAGAGAGAGAACTCCAGGTTGGAAATTTTCATGTTCAATCTAGCACCTCCTTTTGCGGATGCCATACTATTTATGAACTGCAATGAATAAAAAACAGAAGGAACTTTGGGATCACTAAATTCTGATCAATAAATCTGAAAAAAAGAATTATTGTTCATGCCTGTTGTGTAGGCCAGGAACCATAGTTCTCAGTACTGAACTATCCACCCCCACCTTGAGAACTTACACTGTCTATACCGGATTCAAATAAGACTCGGGGGTTGAAGAAAGAAGGGTATGAAACCCTGCCTTCTGTGCCATTAACCCTGGCCAAAGTCATTAGAGGAATTCATAAAACCCAGCAACAATGTTCCTAAACAGCAGATCTTCCACCAGAGAGGTTTTACCACTGCCCCGTGGGCTGTTATTTCTTATTTATTTATTCATTCATCTATCATTAATTCACTTAAACTTGACAGGAAGAGTGCTCAGAACATGAATAACCATGGAGGTTTTCATAAAACTATGTTGGAGATTCATATTTATGAAAGGCCCCAGGACTTCATTCTCCTGATTAACTAACTGATGCCCTCGGCACAAATGAGGGAAAACACCAGTTGGAACCTAAAGCAGAGGGACCGTTTTAGTTCCCAAAGCATTGCACATGGAGAATCAGAGCTTATTTTCATTTACTCTAAAAGCTTCCCATACGAAGGCTTTTGAAGCTGCCCTGGGAGCTAGTACTGACCTCAATTCCTGATTTATTCATACACCCCCCTTGTTTACCACAATGCACTTTTCTTTGGACCACAGAACATCTAATACGGCACATCAGCCTGCTAAAATTTTGCAGCACGAATCACTTTGTCACAGTGTGAATTACATACATGCCGGAATGTTGGTAAATGTCAATCTGGAAGAATTAGTCAATATCTGTCAGGGAGGGCGATGTCCTTTTCTCCAGTGGTGTAACCACTGGCAAGTTGCCTGTGCTCCAGTAAATAATCTCCCACCCATGCTCAAGCAGACAACCCTAATTAAACTCAGTGGGTCAAAAATAAATAAATAAAAAGACATGAAAGCAGGAGGAGACTAGTTGGGAGGAAGGCGGTTAGCAGGAGTGGGGGATAAGAGGATGATACAGGGTGAATATGATCACAGTGCGTTATGCATATGTATGGAAATCTCAAAACATTTAAGCTCCAGATAAAAATATGAAAGTATTAATCCTTTTCCTTTATGAAAACCTGGCCTAAAGTAAACTCTTTCCCCTTTAGAACATATAAGATCTGCAGTGCATGTCAAACCACTGAAACCCAGATACAGATGTACCACAAGCTGAACATCACAGAGCCAGGGTAAGGAGGGGGCTCATCTCTCCAGCACAGCAGATGATGGACTTGAGTCTCCTTTGCTATAGCTAGACCGCTCTGGGTTTGTAGATGACTCCTGACACTCTCTGTATGCTCTGTTGTTTATACTTCTGTGCCACTGGCATATTAGGCTTCTGAATTGTCTAAGGAAAAAAACTCTGGCTTATGGCTTCTTTCCCTGGGGATTTAAATATCCTTTGTGTATGAACTGCCCGAAGTATCAGCAGTGATTACTATTGTATGAATAACTTGGGAAAGCACCAGTTAATGTAGTTCTCTGAATAACATTCTAAGTAAATATTTTAAAAACATATTGCCCAGGGCCCAGTATTGACATAGCTCTACTCTGGGCCAGACTGTGTCGAGTCACACCATTTACCCTCATGTGTACTGACGAACTTTCTCTTGTATGCCTTGGGTTTTCCTGAAAACACAGCTTGAGGCAAAGCTCTGTGCAGGTAAAATGTGGGAGTGATCCTTCAGTGCATAAACGAGGCTGGAAAATCAAGATAAAAAGGAGTAAGAACCAACCCAAGGATGCATTTATTAGGCGCCGGAGTGACAATTCTATTCTACTTAGCCTTCTAAGAACTGGACATTTGCCTTCTATAATTATCAAGCAGAAGGGTAGGAAGCAAGAACATTTTTTTGCTGGTTTCCATGTCCCTGGGGTAAATATTACTCGCAGAAGGAACAGCTGCCAGGGCAGAAAGCAGAGAAAGTGAGCCTTGGCTGCATGTAGAGAAGAGAGAGGATGAGGCCAACAAAGCTGACTGTAGACAGTTAAAATCTGAGCAGAGACGAGTATGTGAGTCAGAGGAACAAGTTTATGACACAATTATCCCATGCTACAGAAAGGAAACCGAGGCACATGGCAGCTTCCTCACCTGTCCAAGTCAAGGACTCCAGAGACTGGGAAGTTGATGAGGCTTCATCTACAACTGCTTTGGAGCTCTACCGGGCAATCTGCACAGCCCACTCACCACTCAGACTCCATCTTCGTGACATTCATTCAAATGTTGCATTTTCTCCTGGGGAGTGAATTTCATTCATTCAACAACAACACAGGGCAATGCTTCCACACTGCTGTGACTGTATTTTTTGGAAACAAACGGGTCTCTTTCATTCGAGGCCATGTTTAAAGAGACATTTGGGAAGGGAAAACAGCTCAAACAATCATTAGAGCTCAGAAAAGGCTTTTTAATTTTTATTAAAATGTTATTCTTCACAGAGTATAGAAATACACGGTGACAACCTATTAGACATCAGCCTTCCTTCTCAAACACACATGAGAAAATGCTAACCAATATTTGCTGCTACAAATGTATTAAGTCGTACATACATACTGTCAGGATGACACCAACATGAGTACATTAGACACGTTCTTCTCGGGTGCATAGAATTTTCTGACAGACTATTTTCCCCCTTAGTAAAAGCTGAGAAGGCCTGGAAATCTGAGCTTGAAGGGTCACAGTATTAACACAGTCTCAGGGTCAAGAGCTACAGATGGCATGCACACAGGGCGCAGGGGCAGCAGAGCCTCAGGAGGGGTGCCAGCCAGTCCCCTGTTTGTGCTGTGAGCAAACAACACTGTGAGGTGACACAGAGAGGAAGGAGTTCCCTCCTCTCCAAGCAGAAGTTTGGGTTTACACTCAGGAATCACAGAGTATCACACAACAGAAGCAAAGGAAATTGCCTACACACGGACTGAGCTTCCTCCTAGGGGACAAGAGCCAGCGTAGCTAAAACAGGAGCCACGAGGACCACTGCCTTTGAGATGAAGAAGTCTGACAGTGAGGAACAGCCACCCACCTACTCAAGGCACCTGACTGACTCCACCAAGTATCACGAACAAGAGCAAAACACCCTAAAAAGAAGAGCAGAGTCGCCCACTTGTGTGAGAGGGAAGGGTTAGGTTTGAACTGGGCCTGGGAGAGGAATCCCACAGTGGATCACACACAAGAGCCAGGTCACCACGCTGCTGAGACGAGCGCCCTCTTCCACCCACCGTGGCTCATACCAAAACTGGGAGGCAGGTGATGAAGTGACCAGTCAGGCCGGGCGTTGCTGCAGCACTTGACCATTAACATTTCTCCCTGCTCTGCTTGTCTTCTGCGGAAACCAGACTCACACAACACGCTGAAGGTGGGACTAGAGGGCTGGGGCAGCATCACTTGTCCTAATCAAGTATTTTACTTTAACGTCACCAAAGAACCCAGTATATGCCACCTGCGTTTCTTCAGCACCCCGTAATTCCAAACATCTGCCTACTTACTTCACTCCTATAAGTCCTCAGTGCATCGACTATCCCGACTCTTGTCTTTTGTTCTAGACCATGTGGAAGAAAAGGAAACTATGCATTGTGGGTATTTCTCAGACTGCTCTCCATCACAAAGTTTCCCTCCGTGTCAAATATAGGTTAAAGCAAAACCCATGGCGAAGGGCTGGCAGTGTTTTCTTGGCAGCACTGATGGTGACTGGTGGAAGCGGGTACATGTGTTGGAGGCCTTGGTGATACCAACGGGGTGTAAAGATAATCAAGGACAAAGAGCCTGCCTCAGACCCTGCTGTGTCTGTCATAAGGTGGGACCAGTCATAGTCATCCCCGCTTTAGGACCCAGAAAATCAGATGAAAGCTATTAGAAAACCACTGGATACCTCACTGGGCATAGTGACACAGGCTTTTAATCTGGAGGCAGACATAAGCGGAGCTCTGTGAGTTTGAAGCCAGCCTTGTCTACAAATTGAGTTCCGGGACAGGCTCCAAAGCGACAGAGAAACCCTGTCTCAAAAAACAAACAACAACAACAACAACAAATTAAAAACACCGTATCAACTTCACCTTCATGGCCACTGCAGCCCACAATTATCTTGGGCCTGCTCCCTTTGTATTCTCAGCTATGCACAGGGAAAGGAGGAGTCCCCCAGAAAATATACATGAAGGACCCTCAGACCTGTCCCATACTGCCCAGATTACAGTGGGTTTGACTAAGGACACAGATCACTAAGATAGATGGATATATACTCCCTCAATAAAGAGGACATTGGATTTTATGTAAACTTCCCCTTTGCCCCGTACAGGAGGAATCACCCCACAGTGGCTTGTAGCCAGAGTGAAGGGAGGGCAGGAATATAGAGCTCCCATTGCTTCCAGGCACTGAGAACCTGCTAGGAGTCTACCTTAGGGAAAATGCTCACTTTGTTGTTCCTGCTCATCTTCCGCTCCACCCTGCCTAGTTTGGGAACTTTTGTCTGGATCAGCTCTTCTGGGGTGTTGCCCAGTGGGGGAAGCAGCCTCTTCTTGCTATTTCGGGTCTCAGAGAGCCACTGAGGGGGCAACTCGAAGGGCCCAAAGCCAAACTGCAGAGAATACTTATCAGGGAGTAGCCCATGTTCCACTGGGGCTACCGGGGTCTCCTGAGACACTGAGTCCACTGTGCCAGGAGGTGGTACAGAAGGTGCCAGCTGTGGCTCCTGCTCTCCCTCTGGGCATGAGGTAAGCTCCTCCTTGGCCTGGAAATCAGCTGAGCCGAGATACTTGGCCTCACTCTCTTCCTCATCCTCTGAGGGCTTAAAGATCTGCTGCTGCCCAATGTGGAACATCTCCAAGAGCTGGCTACCAGAGCGCATGCTGGGCTCCAGGCTGGCCTCAGCCACCCCACTCCCAGTACTAACCACATTGCGGCGACTGTAGCGGTGATGCAGTTGCACCAGGGTCCCAACCAAGCACTTGCGTACTGATTTGTTTACAGTTAGGAAGAGCACAGGATTGGCCAACAGAGAGACCTTGGGCAGCCAAATGGCAGTGAGAAGCAAGAAGACGGAAGTGTTAGGTACATTGAGCACAGTCTGGTAGACAACCAGGGTGGCATAGGGTACACTGCAGAGGATGAAAACTGTCACCATGGAGAGCAGGGTGGCATGTAGCTCAGCCTCACGCTGGGAGGCATAGGGGATGGAGATGGTGTTCTGTGGGGTCCTCAGTGCAGCAATGATGACTTTCTTCTTCTGGCTGGCACTCAGAGCCCTCCGGATCAGGATTAGGAAAAGAAATACCACAGCCACAGGCACAATGATCGTGGTGACATTGTAGATCAGAACATACACCAGGTGACCTAAGGAGTTGCTCCAGACTTCCGTGCAGGTGGACATAGCATAGATGTCAGCTACATTGGTCACAGCAAACACAGGGACACTGGCCACCACTGCATGAGCCCAGATGTACATCACTAGTTCCCGAGACTTGGCATCAGATATTTTTCTCTCCAGAGGATAGAGGACTGAATAGTACCTGCACGACATAAAAGCAGAATTCATTTCACAGGAAAAGATACTCTTGAAGTCAGGGTAACCTCAACTACCAAAAGTAGGCAGAAGGGGACAATAACTGAGACACGAGGAATTCAGGAAGCCAGACCTTAACTTGTGAGGACCCTGAAGCATATGGGGAGACCAATAAGCCAAAAAAAGCAAAACAAAAACTTCCTGAAGATGCAGAGAAAAGCCCAGTCTTCATGCAATTCTTAAGACTACCGGGAAAATAAGCAAATGCTTTCTAGCTTAATAATTATTGCCAACAGAACTAAATCTTTAGTGCCTTCAACATAAAGGACACAGATCCCTAAAGCCTCCTGTGTGGTGGCTGGTAGCTGGTAGCCTCCTGTGTAGCTGGTTTTCAATGTAATGATAAGGGGCAACTTGTAAATTTTCCACATTGAGAAGCCTCTGAGAAAATTTTAAAACCACTGTCACAACAAATTAATCTACATACATACGGAAAGCAGACTTACACCCCACTCCATACACTGCAGAATTATTAGCCTCTAAGGCTGCTCATGGCAGAAGACACCCAAGTGAACGATGGATCCCAATCAAATCCAGCCAAGCACATTGTGTCTACCTAGTAGCCAGTTATCATAACTCTAAGAGCAACCAGCAGGTCTCAAATGCCTGCAAAATTAATTCGTTGTTAAAATTCAGATGCATACGTCCCCCCTTCCAAGCTACAATTTGATCATTCTGTAACTACCAAAGAAGAATTTCAAATGCACCTTGATTTCATACCATCAGTGAAATGGGAGCATTGAATAGTTTCTCACACCCCACAACCATACCATCACCAAGCGGCTGCCATCAGCCATCAAAATTATGGCAAGACTCTTCATGTTAGCTTGGCTCAGAACTCTGCTCTCAGTCAACACTGGAGTAGATCTTCCTACCCTCATGGCAGTCCCTAACTCAAGGGGACAGGTAAGAATGAATGACAACCAATGCTGTGGGTTACTAACAGGAACAGATATGCAGGAACACCACCGCACTCTATGAGAATGCATGAACAGTTACAATCCAGAAGGCGATGGCTCTACCAGAGGAGGTACTTGGCACTAAGGCTACCTAGGAAACTATCAGAGAGAGTGGCAATGCTATGGAGTCTGATGGTGAACAGTGAGGGAATGTTCTGAGGCAGAGAAAAACATGATACAAAGTACTACACAGGCCCTGGATGATCACAGAAGGGTAGGGCACTGTGAAGTGGGTTCTAGTTATTATTCCCCCAGGGAGGAAAAGATTTCGCATGAACAATGCATGCTTTCAAAATGCTTTGGCTCTGAATACAGATACATTTTTCTAATCAAAACTCTATAGACGGTACCACTCTCACACATAAAATCATGCGTAGGAGCGCCCTGGCTCTGGGTGCTACTTGCTCACTGCTACGAAACACAATCAGGCATCTATCTATCAGTTTTCATCCCATTACACACTGGGAAATAAACTGTAAGATATGCACACAGCTCATTATAAATACTGTTCTTAGTGTGCACCTCTCTAAGAAGAGGCTGCAGGAAGTGTAGGCGGCCTCCTAATTAACTCGCCGACTTAGTGTCATAAAACAAATAGATGCAAGGAAGAGAAAAGATCCACTTCCCTTCTTCAAGTGCACCTCACTGATGCCTGCAAATAATTCGTATCTCTGAATCATAAAATAGAAATTTATCATCCTGGTTTTTCTACTAAAGCATTTGTTTACTTTTTTGTATGAGTGATGGTTTGAGAAATGCAATGGTTTACCAGCTGGAAGGAAAACCAGGACTTTTTATTGTTTGCATATTTCCTTGCCTAAGATCAAGGGTTATTGTGCTGATTTGTGGTATAACAACAAGATGTTCTAAATAATATGTTCCTGCCCTCATCAAATCTTATTCTTTAAAAACTTTCCACATTGGTCTGGGGAGATGGCCCCAGTGGTTATAAGAATTTACAACTCTTCCAGAAGACCTGAGTTCAGTTCTCAGCACCCACACAGAAGCTCACAACTGACTGTAATCCGTGTTCCAGGGGATCTAATGCCTTCTTCTGACCTCTGGAGGCACCACACACACACACACACACACACACACACACACACACACACACACACACACACACAAATAAATAGACGTTAAAAATTAAATTACCTGTCCAAGGCAATGGCAGGGAAGCTAAGGATGGTCACGGAGCAGAAGACTTTGTGTAGGAATTTGACAACCTTGCAGAAGAACATGGTGTAGATCCACCAGCAGCAGTGAGGGCTGGTACTGAGAATGATGTCAAAGGGCACGCAGACTAGGCTGGCACAAATCCCAGAGCAGGCCAGGTTTTTAATGAACCTGTTGGTGACAGATTTGAACACGGTTGTGCGGCAAGTTGACCATAACACCATGAAGTTTCCTGGCCAGATATGTAAAAAAAATAAATAAACAAATGGAAGTGAATTAAAGATTTAAATCAGGCGGAAAAACAAAAAAAAGGGAAGGAAAGAAACACGGGTTAATTTTTTTAATATGTTAAGAGCTTATTTGAAGGATATTATACCATTAGTTTATGTAAAAATACTAGAGCACACCATTGCTAAAATTCTGCAAGAAATTTTAGTACTACTTTGGTTTTTTTAATTCCAGGCAAAAGTCATTCTGTGATGATGGCTCAGTCTTACTGGCAGTATAAACAATCAGCTAGGTATTCATCTCAGGAAGTCTTGAGCTAGTTATGTAGCCAAGGAGGACCTTGAACTTCTGATCCTTCTGTGAGTATTACCATGCCCAGCTTATGAAGTGCTGGTGATGTCCCCTGACCATCAGTCAGTCTACTCTTCTTGAGTTTGCTAATGGCTTCAATGTTGTAGAGCATGCTAACAGAAGTACAGTGCAAGCCACACATGGAATTTACAACTTTCTAGTGTTTTACAGAGTAAAAGGAAGCAAGTGAATTCTAATGGTATCTCTTATTTAACCCAATTAATCCTAAACCTTGCGATTACAACATAACATTACTGATAAATCAGTGATGAAGTGTCTTCCTTTCTTGCTTTTGTGCTGTCTTCAAAATCCAGTGTGTGTTTTATTTTACATTTCCAGAGCATCTGTTTGAAGTGGCCACATGTCGAGTGCTTAGAGGCCATAAGTTTTGCTTTCTATGGCTGTGATAAACACCATGATCAAAAACAACTTGGGATCCTGGCAGTGATGGCCCACACCTTTAATCCCTACACTCAGGAGGCAGAGGCCAGTGGCTCTCTATGAGGCCAGCCTAGTCTACAGATCGAGTTCCAAGACAGCTAGAGCTGTTACAGAGAGAAACCCTGCCTTGAACATCCCTCCCTCCCCACCAAAAAAAACAACTTGGGAAGGAAATAGCTTATTTGGCTAACATTTCATGTCACAGTATATCATTGAGGAAACCAGGGCAAGAGCTAAAGCAGGAATCTGAGTGACATCAAGGACTGAAGCAGAAACCATGGAGGAATGCTGCTTACTGGCTTGCTCTCCAGGATCAAGCTGAGCTGCCTTTCATGTTCCCAGCCCCACCAGCCCAGAGGTGACACTACCCACAGTGAACTGGGTACTCTCTCATCAATCATTAATTAATTAATTAATTAATTAGACTTGCAGCAGGCCAATCTGATGGAGGCATTTTCTCAATTAAGATTCTCTTTTCCCAGATGACCCTTGTTGTGTCAAGTTGACAAAAATAAAATAAATAAACAACTAACCAGCACATGAAACTAGTGAACCATATACTGGACAGTGAAAGTCTAGATTTTGCATCAACAATGACCTCATCAACCATCTCTCTCTGACAGTTCACCTCCCTAGCTTCCACAGGTCTACTTCTTTCTGGTTTGTCTCCCACCCTCCATGCAATGAATCTTTTTCTGTCCTGACAGCCAGCTCCCAAACAATGACACAGAGACTTATGAAAGTCTATTATGAAAGCTCAGCCTATAGCTTAGGCTTGTCTCACTAGCTCTTATAAATTAAATCAACCCATTTATATTAATCTGTGTTCTATCATGTGGTGTTACGTCTTTTCTATCTTGCACCTCCTGTTTCCTTTCCATGTTTCCTGGCTTCTCCTGCATGCCTAGATTCCTCCTCTTCCTATCTGTCCCAGGAAATTCTGCCTCTACCTCCTGCCTAGCTATTGACTATTCAGCGTTTTATTACACCAATCACAGCAATGCATCCACACAGTGTACAAACATCCTCCCACGTCCATCAGCTTCTGGTTGGTCTTTTCCGGGGACTCTGGTGTCTCTACAACCTCTTCCTGGTTAAGACTACCTGCTCCTGAGTCTTCCCATCCCAGTGCTGATGACTCCCAGTTTCATGGTCCAAAGAAGCCTTTTCCTCTCAACTCCAGACTTCTAATTCCAATTAAGTCTGATAACATAACCCTTTCTCAATGTGTCAACCTCCAGGGCCTGTGTATATAATCTGTGGTCTGCCTGTCTAACCTCATACCTCCCCTCCTCTGGTTTGCAGAACCCCAGCTCGCTGGCTGCTCCTGAACTACATCAAGGTCAGCCCTAACCCTGGGTGTCTTTGCATAGCATTTCTACATTGCTTGGCATATTCTTCACATGTTTGGTCCCTTTTAGTCCAGGCTTTAGTTTAAATACTGGCTTATCCAAAAGGCCTTCTCTGACTATCTCTCTCTTTAAAATATTTGTGTCCTTCCCTCCATTGTACTTCATTATAATACCCTACTGTTCCTTTACAGTAAGTCCCTGATTATTAGTCATTTGTTTCCATCTTTTTCATCGAGGGGGGAAAACAAAAAACCAAAAAGCACATCACTCTTGTTCAATTACAAGTCCACACACAGCTCAAATTAGGGAGAGTAGCTATCTTATAAACAATTGTTAAATGAGTTTATAAAAATACATGGACAGACAGCAATCAAAAGTCCTTGCAGTGAAACCATCCTTTTGGAGTATGGATGGCATCAGAATTTCCTAACTGAACTCTGAGTTAGAATGACATACTTAATCAAAGCCTGTTTTTGACCGAGGACCCTCACCTGCAAAGATGCCCCAGTGCAGTGCTCTTCAAGCTCAACTCTCAGACTCCTAGACTTGGCGCCTGCAGCCCGCCAAGTCGCCCAAGGCCCATCTTCAGGGGTACCACACAGCACTTTCTTCCTTTGCTTGGGGAGAAAGCAGGTCCATTTTGTAACTTGGCCATCCCCTAAAAACACAGCTTGCTTTTGTGCACCTGCCCACGGGATGCCAGCGAACGAGCCGTTTTGACAGCAGAGCCATGCGCTGTGGGAAGGACATGGTGCTAAGCAGGGCACCACAGATCCAGAGCTCCAGAAAGGGTCCCAGAGCTCCAGAAAGGGTCACCCCACGGAGTTGCCTCAGTCCTTGAATGTGGACAGAACTTACTGCTAAGCTATCAAACACAATGTTCTATGAGGCCTATTATCTTGTAGACAATGTAGAAAACCAATTGATGTATCTAGGTACAAAGGCCAGCTGCTTCCAGGAATTCTCTGCAGAACTCTGTGTTAGTATGGTGACTCAATAAGAAAGCATCAACGTGTTTATACATACACGCACTGGCATTTATTCAGGATAAGAACTGCTTATACTGATGCCACCTGTCACCAAGGTGGTAAGCTGAACAAGCCTGCTGATTTGGAAGTTCTAGGCCTTTCCTCACTGACACACAGATTGGAGTCTGACCGAAGCATCCTTCTTTACAGTTTTACAGGCAGCAATCAAGTCTGGTCATGATCTATGAATGGAGTAGCCACTAGAATCTGTGGTCCATGAAGAGATGTATACATCACTGTATCCTTGATTTTCACCACTGGGGTTGTCCCCTGAGGGACTTCTCATAAATAAACCTTTCTCTTGGTGTGAATCAAAACCCCAAGGATTTGCTTGTTGTTATTTCATTTAAAATAGGTGTGTGTGTGTGTGTGTGTGTGTGTGTGTGTGTGTGTGTGTTGGATGAGGGTGCCATGGTGCATATGTGGAGGTTAGCTACTATTATGAAACTTCTGGCTGTCAAGACTGAGGTCCCCACCTGTAGTAGTTTGAATGTAACTGGTCCCCATAATCTCATAGGGAGTGGCACTATTAGGAGGTGTGGCTTTGTTGGAGTGGGTATGGCCTTGTTAGAGGAAGTGTGTCACTGTGAGGGTGGGCTTTGAGGTTTCCTATGCTCAGTGCTGCCCAGTGTCTCAGTTGACTTCCTGTGGCCTGCAAGATGTAAGACGCTCAACTACCTTTACAGCACCACATCTACCTACACACTGCCACGCTCCCCGCCATGATGATAATGGACTGAGCCTCTGAGATTGTAAGTGAGCCACCCCGATGAAGTGTTTCCTTTATAAGCATTGCCATGGTCATGGTGTCTCTTCACAGCAATAGCAATCCTGGCTAAGACACTAAAATTCTGCAGCAAGCGCCTACACTAGCTGAGCTGCTTCACACTGACCCCACAGCCTGCATATTTTTAAAAACATATTTTGTATTTTCAGCCCATAGTTTCAATCTTATTGCACCCATGTCTAAGTTCCCTTCAGTAGCACCATGGGGCTGCTGGGCACCTCAGCACTTGGGGCCACTCTGAAGACGTCTGAGTCAGATCTGTGATCAAATTCCAGAGGATCACTGGCACCACACTCACCAGAGCCTTCACCCACACCCCAGGACTAGATGTCTCTTTCCGACTTGAGAAGCACTCCCACTAAGTCCACAGCAGTGACCACCACATCCCTGCTGTGGGTCCCTCGGCAGGCTCGGGGGAGCCTGCGGAGGACTATGACTCACTGAGTCCAACAGCAGCTTCCCTGGATGATAAAAGCCCTGGCAATGAGCAGCCACGTGCTCTTAACGGCTGAGACATCTCATCAGGCCCCAAGCCCATAGTTCTTAAACCTACGTGACCATGGGATCACCTGGAAACTTCAAAGGCAGAGGCCCCCACATCTGACCCTACTCTATCAGAACCTCAGAGAGCCTGGGAATCCTTCACTTCATGTGCCCAGCAGGAAATTCGGAGTGAGTAACCACAACCATTCCCTCCTCTCTTCACCAAGTCCAGCACCTCAGGACCACAACACTCAGGATTCCTTAAATTCCTTAAACAGCGTCCTCTCCCAGGACATAAAGGGCAAACACAGAAATCTCGGGAAACTCTAAGAACAAGTGTCCACGGATCCTGGAAGGAATCCTTCTCCATCAAGAATCAGCATGGAGCTTAGCGTCTCCGCTGTGTAGACTGCTTTTCTGCTGTGTAGACTGAGCTCCAGCCACAGAGGCCACTCTGCCTTTGGGAGTAGCAACACTATAAGATGTGAAACCTTTGGCCAA